CTTTAAAAACTGATAGTTCTTCTGACAATAGCCTTTCTTTTTTTTTTTGGTGGTGGTGGTACTGGGGTTTGAATTCAGGACCTCATGCTTGCTAGGCAGGCACTCTGCCACTTGAGCCACTCTGCCAGCCCAACAATAGACCTTCATTAAATAATTTCTTAAAGATATTCTTCAGGAAGAAGGAAAATGACCTTAAAGCAAGACATGAGATAATAAACATGTAAGTAAATCCAAACAAACACTGTATAAAACATACTTATTTTGAAGGGTAAAAACCCTAAAATATGGTTTGTGGTGAAAATTCTGTTTAACTTTGATTTTGTTAAATTAAGCATGTTTGGGCTGGCTCAAGTGGTAGAGCACCTGCCTAGCAAGTGTAAAGCCTTGGGTTCAAACCCCAATACATTAAGGAAAAAAAGGTAGAATAAAAACTCAAAAGAAAGCACTAAAAGAACAAAAAAATGTAAAACTTTCAATCAATAGAAGAAAATTAATCTACCAGCTGACGAGATGAGGAAAAATGATTAAAAATAGAAAACACCAAATAAGATGTTAAAAACAACTTCAAATATATCCATAAGCACTAGATGTATTTATTAAACTTGTCAGTTGAAAGGCAGATTGTCAGACTGGGTAAAAACTAAAATCCAGCTATAATTCTGTTTATAAGAAAATACATTTTTAAAAAGACACAAAATATTAAAAGTGAATAGTTACACTGAACAAACTCTAACCAAAAGAAAATTGGAAGCCAAATGTGGAGGCACACACCTGTAATTCCAGCACTTGGGAGGTTGAGGCAGGAAAATTGTGAGTTTAAGGCCAGCCTGAGCTGCATAGTGAGGCTGAGGTCAGTTTGAGCTACATAGAAAGACCCTGTCTCAAAAAAGAGAAAAAGGGCTGGGATGTAGCTCGGTGGTACAGCACTTGCCCAGCATGCACAAGGCCCTGGGTTCGATCCCAGCACCAAAAAAGAAAAGACAGAAAAAAAGAAAAGGAAAGAAGGAGGGGGAGGGAGGAAGGAAGGAAGAATGTAATTAAACATAATAAATTTGGGGGTTTTTGTTTGTTTGGGTTTGGGATTTTTGGATTTTTTTTTGAGACAGGGTCTTGCTATGTAGCCCAGGCTGACCTCAGACATGAGATCCTGCCTCAGCCTGTGGTAGGATTGCAGGCATGGACCACCACACCATAGTTTTTAAGCCCAAAACCATAGTAACAAAGAACATAACCACATAATAATAAAATCTTCAATTTACAAGAAAGCATGAACATTCAGTACTTAATATATATATACAATAAAATAGCCTCACAATGTGTAATCCTCAAACTGAGGAACCACGAGTACACCATCTAGTGCAATTAATAGTCCTATATAGAGTCCTTCATCCAATGCTTAAAGAATACACATTTTTTCATCACATATGCAAATTACAGAAGTTGACGAAGTGTTAGAACTACCAAGTACAAGGTTATGAAACCAGATTTCAAAGAACAGTATCATACAGATCTCGTTTGGTATATTTAAAATCTCCCTGTGTCTGGAAATGAAAAACTAAACTCTCATAACCCTCCAGTGGTCTGCTCAGTGTCTTCCTGAAGTATTTATCTTTTTTTTTTTCCTGATGGTAATGGGGTTTGACCTCAGAGCCTTACATTCACTAAGCAGGTGTCCTTACGGCTTGAGCCACTCTACCAGACCCTGAAGTATTTATCTTTTGATATGTGTCCTCAGCTCCCTTTCTCTAAAAATTACCCTCACCTCCCCAGGAGCCATCACTGTATAATTGGCAGTCCTTTATGCCCACTCCCCATCATGGCCACAGTTGATTGGACCAGAAGCGAACTATAGCCGGGCCAACCAGACACTCCCTCTCAACCCAAGGAATCTGACAAGATAAAAGAATTGCCCTGGCCATGGTTGATTGGACTACAAGTTGATTGAACTCAAACTGGGCCGATCAGACTCAGTCTTCAAGACAGATCTTGGGGAAGATGCAAATAGGATGTCCATTTTTTTTCTCTGAGCCCAGAACAGAGAAATGTTCAAAGAGGAACCAAGGGTTCCTACAGAAAGGAGAGACTACACAGTGAGAGGAAGAGAGAGGCTGACCAGAGAGACAAAAAGAGAAATTAAGTCAGAGAGACAGTCTGAGAAATGCAGCATGTAGAGCAAGACTAAGTTAGAAATTGAGAGAGAAGACCAGCCCCGGTGGCTCTCGCCTGTAATCCTAGCTACTCAGGAGGCAGAGATCAGGAGGATCATGGTTTGAAGCCAGCCTGGGCAAATAATTCATGAGACCCTATCTCAAAAAAACCCTTCACTAAAAGGGCTGGTGGAGTGGCTTGAGGTGTAGGCCCTGAGTTCAAACCCCAGTACCGAAAAAACAAACAAAAGAAAGGAAGAAATTGAGAGAGCAAAACTACCTAGCGTGAGAGAGGATAAGGGAAGACCAGAGAGAGTGATGGCCTGGATTCTGATGGCTTTGCAGTTCTGATGTCAGTCTTTCCTGGGGTTTGCTGGCACTCAGGTACTTAGAATCAAAAGACTTCCAGTGCGCAGCTCACTGCATTCCTTGGCTCTAGCCCATCTCTTTTCCCAAAATCCCACCCATCCCTTCGCTGCTCCCTCTGTCCTTCCACATTCTGTTCTTGTCTGGACATTTTTCTCTATCACCCCAGCTGCTAGAGTTCTCCATAAGCTAGAGGGCGTCTGTTTGGAAAACCCCTGTTTGTAAACAGAAGAGGACTGATTTACATGGCTTCCTGCCTGTGCCTTTCCTCTCTGCCATCCAGCATCCATCCTCGTACAATTCATACTCAGTAACTGGGTGATCAGCTAGTGTACAGCAGGCCAGAACTGAAACCCCAGGGCTTTTCTAAGATAAACGTTTAGACCAGCAAGTATGCAGTTTTCACAAATGGGAAAGACCCATGAATCTGCTGTGGTTTCTGAGAACCACAGCAGGAGGTGTGCTCTTTGCCTCACTGAGAACCATGGAAAGGACTTTAGAGATGGTTTAGATCCTAATCTAAACCAGCCCTTTCATTTACCAATGAGGACATTGAGATCCAGGAGAAAGTCACACAGCTGGCAAGGAGCACATCTGGTTTGGGAAGCAAGTCACTTAAGAATTAAAGTGTCATGAGCTCAACTCAACAGTCTCTTGTCTGAAAGAGAACTTTCTGCCTGTCAGCCCCCACCAGCTGCCGCACCACCTCTACCCCATAGTTTTGCACAAACTGTTTCTACTGTGCCCCTTGTTTCTGATGGCTACAAACCTTCAGCAAGCCACATTCTGACCTCAGGATTCTAAAAACCCCTCCAACCACCACTCTCTCTGAGTCTGGGATCCCCCACCTATAGTATATTTTACACTAGTTCATAAACGCCTGTCTACCTTCCACACGTGGTCTAGCAAGCATTCAATAGGTTCTTGGTGCTTGAGAGCCAGGTACTAGCTAGTTCATGCTAGCACCCACTTATTAAAGGCTCTCAACTGAGGCAGCAAGGGAAGGGCATGGGGTGGGAGCCATCAGCCCACCTTCCCCAGCACCTCTCCTGTGTGAGCTGGCAGGGCCTGGTGGTCAGGTTGAAGCAGCATGGCCTCTGTCTCCTGAAGCAGCTAGAGTCTGTTCCACACAGAGCTGACCACGGACTCAGCAGTGGCTGTCCAGCCCTCCTCCCCAAGCTGGCAGTGCTCCCCCACTGGGTAGCAGTGGGACACAAGTAAAGTCTGGAAGTGGGTCAAGTTGCTATCAAAGGCCACTAGGCCTAGGCCCTGCAAGGGTCACTTTCTCAGTGGCCATGGGGATGGGGTGCTCGGCCAGAAAATGTCCAATTACTTATAAACTGAAGTCCTAAGAACTGGGCAGATGCCAATCTAAGAGGACAAATCCAGCGCAGGCTAGCTGTGGCTAGGGGACTGGCTATAAGTAGTGTCCTCTCCTCCTCTAGGCCCCTCTTTCCTGACAGCTCTAGAACAATTGGAAGAGGGGCAGTAGAGTGCACCTTGCCCTACACTACTCCCCGCCCTCTGACAGATGATGCTCCAAAATTGCTCTGGCACCACCCACTGGCCTCTGATTTACTATTTTAAACCAAATACCATTTCCAAAAACAAAATTCTGTCCATCTGGATCATTTGTTTTACTCCAGGGGGCCAGGGGCTGTTACCCATAGCACAGATCTGGTGTCTGGAAAATTTAGTGTCTTTAAAGGAAGAGGTGGGGGGAGAAAGCCCATGATTTGGAGTGAGGTCAGTCAGCCCCAGCTGGAAGAGGCTTGCGGGGAGCCAAAAGACTATTTGGCCAGATTGCCAGACCCTAGGCCAGCTATTGTATAATCTCCACCATGTTAGAAAGAAAGACAAGACAAAAATTGGGACATATTTTTGTTCTTGCTCAGGAGCCCAGAACATGCTCACAACTCCAGGAATCTCTGCTTTTCTCTGCTAATGGAAAAGATGACCCATGAGAACAAACTTGACTACAGCAGTATGTGTCTCATTGCCCAGTCCTGTAAGTTAGGGACGCTGAGCCTCATACCATCTTGTGACTGCTTTCCAGAGACTCTGTGCTCTAAGCAGCTGCTCACTTTAATGGTTAAAAAATAGGATGGTGGTTGGGCTGGTGGCGTGGCTCAAGTGGTAGAACAGCTGCCTAGCAAGCGTGAGTCCCTGAGTTCAAACCCCAGTACTCCCCCCGGCCAAAAAAAAGGATTGATGGCCTTAGAGTCTCTCTGACTTAGAGTCAAATTACAGAATAGCATTTATTGACATCTTCCTTGGACTGCACTGTGCTTCTAGCAAGAGCAGAAGCAAGTATAAAGGGAAGCACACATAGTTAGCTACATAATGTAGTCGTTACACCAGGACATGTTCTTTCCAGTCTTGTTGGTAAAGAAACTATGATTGCCCCATATTAACTACCTTAACTTTGAATGTGCACTGGAGTTCCAAATTCAGCAAAGAAATCAGTTATTTACATTTCAAGTAAAAATACTATAGTTTATTTCTTTATTTCACCACTATTCATAGGTATGAACTGTGACAAGGCCTTGCTTACATCTTGCAGTGCAGGGCCAGGAAATAGGCTTTATATTGGTTATTGGATCTTCAGCATCAGACTATCATGATCACAGAGCTGGCAACACCATGCAAAAAGACGAGGAAATAGTTGCATTACTGGCACAAAATGGACAAAGGAGCAGAGTTTAATCAGTGGCCAATTTCTTGTGTTTCTTTAAAAAACAAAAACCACAACGGGGCTTTATTTTGACATCTTGAGGGCATTGGGCCAATCGGTATCATGGGACAGAGATAGTAAGTAAGGCATGAAGAAACAAACAAGAACATTGCACCAAAACAGATGTGTTTAAATTAACAAGGTCGTGCATCAGTCTCACAATGGCTGTCACATGAGGTCAGGGGAGAGGAGTGTGAAGATCTTGGAGACTTAGTTGCTCAGAGGCTGTTGAGCAACTCCAGGAAATCTCAGGGAGGCCACTCCTCCACGCCCACGCTGGCCACCCCTCCTTGCCCGTTGCTGCCTTCTGGAGGGCACTCTTCCTTGAACAGTGCCTGCAGCTGGGGACCGGACTGTGGTGCTTTGGAGGTATTGGAAGGCGCTCTGGCGGCCCACCTGCCTCTCTACACAGTTAAAGGTGAGGGCTACTCCCACGTTGCTCTTCATGATTCTGGAGGACCCGTCGGACGTGCCATCAAAGCACCGGCCAAGTGCAATCTCCTTGGCTATGCGAGGGTCCTGGTCAGTGACAGTATAAATGCCATAGTTGTGACCCAGTGGGTCCAGGGGTGCTAACATGGTGTACTCACTGGTGTCGTTGTTGACTGCTAGTGGTAGGTGGTTGACCAGGTACTCATGTAGCATGGGGTTCACGCTGGCTCGGCGGCAGCTGCCTTGGGGGATGACCTTCACCAGTGTGCGGTCCACGCGGTCCTGGTCATAGAGCATCCCACTGCACTTGAACTCCAGACAGGCAGATGAGACATTGGGCTGGTCCCTGTCCCGAGTACTCTTCACATCCCGGATTCCATACAGCTTCCCCACTGTCTGTCGGTGGGTGCCCCCCATGTTGCGGGATCGGACATTCACCTCCAATGGACCCACGATCTTCACTTTGATGTAGCAGGCCCTGAACTCCATTGGCTTGGGCCACCATGCCAGGTAGTCTTCAGTCCAGCTCATGGGGTCATCTTCGTTGAAGGGAACTGTGTTATAGTCATACCTATCCCCCTCAATCTGGTAGAACCGGAAGTGGGCCGCACTGGGTGGTGCCTCTTCACAAGCCCGGAGGTTCTCAAAGGAGTAGATGGGCCCATTGCTCTCCTCAGCTGAGTTGGGCCTTGGCTTGGCCATGGTGATCTGGAATGCCATCTTTTTAACCCGTGGGTCCTCGTGGTCTGTCCTACGGTACTTGAGCTTGTTGAGGTAGGGCTGAGGGACACCAATCGCATTTGGGTTGAATTTAGGGGAAGACTCCACTGCCTCCAGTTCCTCCCCAGCCAGGCTTGCCAAGAAGTAGGCAGAATAGGCATCAGGGGACTGGTCATCACAGAAGGCAGGCAGACAAGCCCCATTGGGGCCTGTGATGACACTGTCAAAGCGGCCCCAGGCCCTAGGGTTGGATGCAAAGCCAGTTCTGGGCTCCAGGTTGATCACAGAGACCACAACCCCCTGGATTTGTTCACTGGGCAAGAACCTCTCACTCCGGTAGGCCCTCACCTTGACAAAGCACCTTCTGCTTTCAGGGACATCCAGGTTAAAGAGCCTTCTCTCACGGATCTCCATGTTGCCCACCAGGAAGGTTCTCTCTTCCCTTTTGTTCCTCTTTTGACTTTCAAATTTGAAATCCCCTTCCTCCTCCCACAGCCCTGTGTCTGGGTTGAGTGACCAGAGTTTCATCGTGGGTATATGCTCTGGCATCTTGACCTGGGTCGAATCAAGGTGGACCTTCACCTTGCCAGCATTAAGTGGTTCTGAGCTGGCGTCATCTGTGAAGTCCACAGAGAACATGCCATATGTCCGAAGGGGGAGGGTATCTCCTTCATCATTGATGAAGTTCAGATCGCTCTGGGCAGCAGTGGCCGTGGAAATATTCCGGGGGTCAGGAAAGTCACGCTGGCCTTCACCTTTCCTGTGTAGGGCTCCCCATTCTGCCTGTAGAAACTGTTAGATGGGATCTCCAGTTCAGCCACAGGGTCTTCGCCGACCACCTCTCCCAGGGGGATAATGTTGGTCTCCATGGCTTCCAGGGTGATGGGCTCTTTGCGTCGTAGCATCTTGATCTCGTGGAACACTGCACTCCCCTTCCTGTTGAATGGCAACACTTTGGTGGTGTTCACAAACTTCTGCAGCCTGTCCACGAATGTGAGCACCAGCCTCTCAGTGTCCTGGGGGACATGGAGGCTGAAAGTGCCTTTGTAGCCAGTCATGCTCACGCGGCTGTTCCCCATGTACACGTGGCCAAAGCGCATGGGTTCCCCATCATCAGCGGCACTGACGCGGCCACGCACGATGCTCCGTGTCTCTGCACACCGCTGGCAGCTGCACTCCGTGGCCACCTTGGTGGGCAGCGTGTACCCACTGCACTGGATCTCCCTCTCTTCTGTCTTGGAGATGCCACAACAGTTCTCCACAGCATCCCGGCACCTGACCCCATTATCCTGCTGTCCTGCACAGGTCTTGACAGGGCAGCGGCCCACATCATAGTAGAAGGAATTGGTGGCATTCTGAAAGCAATCGTGGGGCAGTCGGATAAGGTAACTCTCAGGAGTTGGGTTGCAAGGAGTCTCATAGGGTGCTGAGGAGGAAACAGTGTTGATGTTAACATATCAGTTCACACCCTACGCGAGGTACTTCAATATCACCTCTCTTTTATTTTTTTATATTTTGTGGTGCTGGGCATGGAATCCAGGATCTTGTACATGCTAGGCAAGTGCTCCACCACTGAGCTACACCCCCAGCCCTGAATGTCACATATCTACCAAAGGACTAGTATATCTGTGACCTTGATTCTCACAGGACTCTCTGACGAAGGTGAGGCAGCTCTTACTGAGCCCATTTAATACCTGGGGAAACAGAATTGGTAGTTGAGGTAGCTAGAGCACTGGTTCTTAATAGAAGGATCTTGAAAATGTGGGAGGTGTTTTGGATTATCACCAAAATTTGGTGTGCTCCTGGCATATGTGGCAGGAGCCATCAATGCTCTATGTCCTACAGTACAGGCACACTATTCTGTAGAAATCATCCTTCTGCATCCTGCATGACGTTCACATATCCCGTGAATACATTCATGTAGGTAGAAACCCTGTTTAAAGTGATCAAAGTGAGGTGGGCATCTGTGGTTCAAGGATCAAGGTTCTAGGCAAGCCTAGGCAAATAGTTCATGAGGCCATCTCCAAAATAACCAGAGCAAAGTGGACTGGAGGTGTGGTACAAGTGGTAGAGCACCTGCTTTGCAAACATGAAGCCCTGAGTTCAAACCTCAGTCCCGCCAAAAAAAAAAAAAAAAGTGATGGGAACTTTTTTTTTTACCATGACCTCATTCTATACTGAATTTTTTAGAAATGCAAGTACCATATAAAGCAACCTACCTAAGATTGCACTTTGTCAGCTTGGAACAATACCAAGAATTGTTCCCCACCTTGGAAAAATCATGTCCTTATGACATTACTCACAGAGTCTGAACCACCAAGAAATATCTCTATAACCATCAGCATTTGTAGCTGTCATGCTCATGGTGACTCTGAATTTAAGAGTAAATGTCCAATCACTTGGTTTATCTGTGTCACTGTGCCAAAATATTTAGATATTGAAAGAATACTATTTTGAATTTACATTTTTTTATTTCTGTTTTATGTTATAGTTAAGACCATGTGCATATATTTTTGGAAATTAAATGTAGTTATTATCTATAAATTATACTTCAGAACAGTAAAAGCAGTACTAAAAATCACTGTGCCAAACAGGGAGCATTGGAAAAAAAAAAAAAAAAAACAGGGGGCATTGGTATAATGGACTGGGAAGCACTGCTGGGGACTCCACATCTCCCCTGCTGAGACCCACAGTTTTTGTCTTGTCTGTTCTGAGACCCATTGCTCAACTTTCTTGGAGTGTGTGAAATATTCCACAATTCTTCCAATATATTCTCTCTTCCTCTGCCTTTTGTTTTGTTTTGGCAAACTATTATGATATCCTCTTTCTCCCTCAGTTTATAAGGCCAGGTTTCTCATAGGTCTTTGGCCGCAAATCTTCCCCCCCCTTGTTCTCTTCTACCAGCCAGCTATTACCAGGTCACCCTCAATTCCCCACTCCTGTATCTTTGCCCGTGCCAGCCCCTGATCTGGGCACATCCACACACAATCCCTGCCCACTCTCTGATCAGAGGCTCCCAACCTTGACTGCATGCCCAAGTCACATCCCAGACCCATTAAATCAGACTCTGGGAGTAAGTCAGGGGCATTAGTAGTTTTTGAAGGCTCTCAACTGGTGGTGGCACTAAGCAGTCAAGGCCAAAAACCGTTATTGAAGTCTCAGCTGAAAAACAACTCCCCAGGCAGCCTCCTGGAAGGTATCTGTCTCTATCTATTAGAATCCATAGTCCTGAGCTGGGTGTGGTGATGCACGCCTGTAATCAAAGCTACTTGGGAGCTAGAAATCGGGAGGACCATGATTCAAGGCCAAATCCAGCAAAAAGTTAGTGAGATCCTATTTCAACAAAAAGCTGAACATGGCGGTACATGTTGTAATCCCAACTATGTAGAAGGCATAGGTAGGAAGATCAAAGTCTGAGGCTGGCCGTAGCAAAAACATAAGACCCAGTAGGAAAAATAACTAAAGCAAAAGGACTGGGGGTATGGCTCAAGTGGTAGAACACCTGCCTAGCAGGTACAAGACCTGAGTTCAAACCCTAGTACTACCAAAAAGAAAAAAAAAAGTCCACAGTCCCTTAGTTCTTGCTATCTTGGTGTCCCAGAGGGCATGGCACTATGCACAGAAAAACCCAATCTTTTACTGCCAATGGTGCTCACAGGGGTGCTCAGCCAGCCCTGTTACAGATTCAGGACCCCAGGAGCTAGACATACTTACCTATGACAGTCAGCTGCGCAACCTGGGACTTTGCAGCCCCAGCGTCACTCTGTGCCTTGCAAAAGTAGTCCCCAGCCTGGTCTTGCTTCAGGTTCCTCAGCACCAGCTTGCTCTCGTGCTTATAAAGGGAGGGATCCAGCAATGTGTCATTGTGGTACCTGAGGGGATGAAGAGGCAGAACCTGAGTAGACTGTGGTGGGGGGAGGGGGGGAGGCAGGTATCCCTGGAGACAATGCCAAGAGCAAGCAGCTAGGGGGTTGTTTGGGGAATGGGTTCCTGCAGGTGCCAACATCACCTTCGACTTGTCTCACCCAAGACCACTTATTACCCTGGGGAGTCAAGGAAATTGGTTGTAAGTCCCAGCCCCAGCACTTAACTGGGAACAAACCATCTCACATCTCTGAGCTTTATTTTCCTGGTCTATAAAAAAGATCGCTAGCTATCCACAAAGAATAGTTGGGACTGTCAAACAAGACAGTGACTTTAAGATGTCTGTGAAGGGTAAAGGACTCACAGCCACTGGGGATTCTACCTTGTTGGCCTTGGTGGAAAAGCAGGACTGAGGAACCTTGTTCTGTGCACTGGTTCTGCACAAGCGCCCTACTTATAACATTAATCTGTTGGTTATTGCTCTTAAATCGGGACCCAATTTTCGAAAGCTAGTGTCCAAAAGGAGAATTGTGCAGGGCTGCTGGCAGGATACACACCAGAAATACTTGTCTGGACTGGGCTTCCCTGTGGCCTTGCAGCACAGGGACACAGTCTGACCAGCTCTCCGGGCTTTTGTCTCGGGGTTCATTATGATGTATGGCATGTCTAGGACAGAAGATGAGAAACAGTGTTTTGGTTTTTTTCTTTGTGACAAGTTCTACAGAGCCTTGGTCCCTCAGGGTCTGTGATGGTGTCAAACTGAATCACTTCCCTCCACCCCCCAGCCTGTCTCTAATGGTCCCATACCTAAGAGAACTGGCTACGGTGGCTTCTCAAGCACCTCTAGGTGGGGCAGTAGAAGACCAGAGGACCTTGTGCCAGCTATGATTCCTAAGCCCTACAACCTGGACAGCACTGCATGTTCAAATAGAGCAATTTTCACGTGCTGCTGTCCCCAGCAGTTTTTCGTCATCCTGCACCACTTCTGAGCTCCCAATCCCCTCTCTCTATGGCCTCCAAGCCTCCAACTGTATCATAATTGACTGTTTTAGTCAAGGTGACCAGAGAAGACCTCATACATTAAGGAACAGGACCTACCAATAAATAACTGGGGGAACACTCTACACAAAATACAGCAAGGGCCAAGACCCTGAGGCAGGACTGCATCTGTATCTGAGGAACAGATAGAAAGCCACTGTGGCTGGAGTAGAGTGATCCCATGCTGGGGGAGGATAGGAGAAATAAGAGCAGAGAAATAAGAGAGGGCCAGATGGTATAGGGCCTGTGGGCATAGTAAAATTGGGGATTTCACTTTGAGTCAGCTGGGAAGCCAGCTCTTAGTACTGTAACGTCTCCTCACTGATCTGCCAGAGAGCATAGTCACCTGCCCTCACAAATTCTGCATTGATGGTGGCTGTCTTCAGGCTAGTTTTGGGCATTGTGAGCATGATGGGGGCAAACTTGGTCTTCATGATCTTCAAGGTAGTTTTGCCATCAGGGCACAAGCCAGGGACGTGGAACCTCCCATTGCTGTCTGTCTGGGTCAGCATCTTAGGTGTCTTGGTCATCAGGTAGACGATGGCCCCTGAAGCAGGGGCACCCCCAGGGAGGGAGATGGCCCCATGAAGCATGAAGTCCTGGCACATACATGTGTCACAGTCAGCATTTACCTGGCCCATGGGGCAGGTCAGGTCACAGGCTGTGGAACCAAGAGCCATATTAGCAGGGTTTCATGGAATCTGACCCTCCATTCACCTCCCAGCCTATAGATTCACACGTGTTTCCTCTCCTCCTTAGGCCTCTGTTACCCTTCCTTGTCAACCTACATGACGAACTCCTACTCTTCCATCAGACATAGCTCAGGACACCTCCTCCAGGAGCTTTCCTGGATTCCTCTAAGCTATGATCCCTGGCCTTGCTCAGTGTTCTTACCTTATCCTGTATATCTCCCATTAGAGCACATGACAGATGTTCAGTTAGGGCTTGATGAGTGGATGATGGAATCTGTCTTAGACTGACCCTCTAACCCACCCTTCTATGCAGTTTCAGCCTCGCCCACCACCCCCTGCCCAGTGCTGGGAAGGAGTGAGATACCTGTGCAGGGCTGGCTCACACAGAGCTGGCCCTCCTCAGTAGCCTCACTGCACAGTGACACAGTCTCTGCCAAGCAGGTGCGTGTGCGGGTCTGGACCCCAGTGTGACCACAAGCAGCTGAACACTTGCTCCAGGGGGACCAGGGACTCCAGATGTGCTCTGTGTCTCTGCGCAGAGACCCTGCAAAATGAGACCAGATGAGATCCAACTTCCTTCCCAAGGGGACTCAGCCAGGAAATGTGACCCTTAGCCTGTTTCTTCTCTGGTGAGGACAGACAGGACCTCATTTACATCATAGATATTACTAGTGTTTATATTTCCTGCATTGAAGTTTCCAATATAGGGAAGTCAATAGTCCTAAGGAAGGGGTGTCTCTAATTTGCACAAAGGCAGCATATGGGCCAGGGGCAGCTCTGAGAGTGCTGGGGTGTGATATGCTGTCCAAGGATGTGTGGAGACTGCTCAAGCTACCACTAGTATGGAAACAGACACATTCTCCATGTGGACAGGCTCTCTGGGAAGTCAGGGCCTGTGGTCTGCAGTGACTTGGACACCCACCCAGAAGGGGGACTTTTGCACCTCTTCTCACCTCTGCTCTGAAGCCTGTGTGCAAGAATTGGGCTCACACCTTGCCCAGGAGACCAGCCCTGAGTTCCCATGGTACATAACCACTGGTAGCTGGCCTTCCTAACATTTGTACTATTCAGTTGGGTACAGTGGTGCATACCTATAATTCCAGCTACTCAGAGGGCCAAGATGGGGAGGATCACTATTCAAGGCCAGTCCAGGCAACGAGTTAGCAAGACCCCATCTTAACCAAAAGCTGGGCATGGTGGTGTGTGCCTGTGGTCCCAGGTGTGCAGAGTATAGGTAAAAGGATTGAAGTCAGTCCCAGGCAAAAAATGCAAAACACTACCCAAAAAATAATTAAAGCCAAAAAGGGATAGAGGTGTGTTTTACATAGTAAAAGGTGCCTAGAAAGCACATGGTCCTGAGTTCAAAATCCCAATACCCCCCCCAAAAAAAACAAACCACTGTATTGCCCAGTGCAGGGGCAGGGCAGGATATAAAGACCATGGACACTACAAACACAGACATGGTTCAAATCCTCATGCTGCCCTTGTTAACTGAATAATCGTGACAAGTTACCTATCTTTTCCCAACCTCATGCACCTGTCAAGATAGCAATGCCTCAAAGATTAGTTGCAAAGGTTGGATAATGTGGACAGCTAGCACATATCTGGCCCATAGGAACAGTAACAGAAACTAACACTTAGTGAACCTGGGTTTCAGCCCTCTATACTCTATCTCATCTAACCCTCATCAAAACCCCTGTGAAGCTGGGCATGGTGGTTCATGCCTATAATCCCAGCACTCAAGAGGCCCAGGCAGCAGGATCACAAGGTTGAGGCCAGCCTGGGCTGCACAGTGAGACCCTGTTTCAAAAAATGAAAAAAAGAAAAGAAAAAACCCAAACCTGTGAAGATTTACTGTTACCCCATTCTACATGTGAGAAACCTGAGGTTAGAGAACTTCAGCTTCACTGTCACTAGAGAGTCCAGCCATGTACATGTGTGTGTTGTTCAGGTCCAGGCCTCACCGTGTGCCAGGGCTGGCGGGAGGCCAGGGCAGGGTTGTTCACACTCACCTGGTGGGCAGAGGAAGCGCACGGTGTAATTGGAGCAGTTCTGGCCAGGCTGCTGCTCCCTGTTGAGGCACCAGAAGCCCTCATGGGGACTGCCATGGACCACCTGGCCAGTGCTGCCTGCGGGCATCCAGTCAGTGGTCCGGGCCTCTAGACGAAGGGGACGAGCACACACACGATCCCCGTAGTAGAAGCGAATGGCATCCAGCCGCTCATAGTCGCCCTGCCCGCCTGGGTGGTCAATGTTGAACCATGCTGTCCACTCACCAGGACCTGATGGACAGAGTCAGTTGAGAAGAAGTGGTCCCTGGAGTGGCAGGTGAGCTCCAGTTCTGCTGTCCTGCTCAGCCCTGAGGAATCTTTCCTGATTTTGCTCACCCACCCCCAGTGGTCTTGGGGCCCTGTCACATTTATTTCACCAGGTCCCTCCAATCCCTCTGGGCCCTGCAACGCTGAGCCCTCCACTCAAACGCTCATCAGCCTGACTGAACCATGTCAGTAACTTCCTGCCTCATGTCTCTACCTCCAGGCTCCCTCTTTCCCCATCCCCACCAACACTGCAGCTGGGTAAGCTTTTTTCATATGGCTTGGACTACACCACTCTCCAGTGTAAAAATCTTTTGCGAGGCATTTGGGGTGCCGGTGAGCTGGTTCCTGCTATCTCTCCATCCTCAGCTGCCCATCTCTCCCAGCAGCCTGTACTCTGGTCCCAGCAAGCTCTATAGCATTCCTGAAATAGGCAGCTTCCTAATTCTGAGCTACTTCTACATCTATATTATATAGATATATCTATAATATAGAGAGATATAGCTATACCATACCTCTCTGCACAGAGGCCAGATGCCTTGTAAAAAGTGAGTTTCCACAAAACCCTGACATCACACCCTGGCTTCAGAAATTCCGTTAGCAAGCTCTGTGAGGACTACCTCCTCCTGACCCTCCCTTCTGCAGCCACAACTCACTCTCCAGGGGGTCAGCAGGCTTGGCAAAGGTGCCAGGTATCCTCTTCCCAGGCTGGACTCTTCTCACCGATTGGGTGAGCATCGTATGCCTCCCTGAGGGCCAGGAGAAGAAGTTGAGTGAGAAAGCGGGACTAACCAGGGGTCTCACAAGATGCAGGAAGCAGTACGGTATAGTGCCTAGAAGCTGAGCCCTGGACCTGGGTTCAAACCCTGACTCTGCCACTTACTGCTGTGCAACCTCAAAAGGCTTTATCCCTCTACACCTGTTTTCCCCATGATAGGGATGCATTAGTGAGAACTACATTATAAGGTCTGGCACATTCTTCAGGGTGACAATGAATGGAAAGGGACCTGGCAGGTAGTGCGTTTGTGAAAGTGAGTTGTCACTTGTTCTAGAAATAGATCATCAGGTGCTGCTGAGCAGTAGGCCGGTGCTCCCACTTTGGTGTCTGGTCTATCCTTCTTGGAAAAAGTGAAGCTCATTTTCCACATCTGTAAAATGGATATATTAATCCCCGCCCCCAAGGGAGATTGGGGCATGAGGATTCATGAGATGAGACATAAACACCTCTGAAGTATATGAAGGCTGAAAGCCTGGGCTCTACCTCTTCCTAACTGGCAAGCTACTTAATCCACCTGGCCCCATGTCCTCTCTATAAAGTGAGGACAGTAACAACTCCTGCCTCAGAGGATCGTGGGAATTGCAAAGGCTCATTCATAAAGCCACTCAGAAGCACGCCTAGCACAGAGCGTATGTTGAATAAGTGTTAGCAACCTCCTTAGGTCAGTGCCTGGCACCATAGGTGTCCCTTCCCCTTTCCTTGGCAGTTTGGCTTTGAGATCTGCCCTTGCACACAGGGCTCAAATGGCCTAACTGGGTCAGTGGTCCTCAGTTTTCTGCCTCCTGAGTAGCTAGGATTCCAGGCTTGAGCCACCAGTGCCAGGCTCTGGTCCTCAGTTTTCTGACCTCAGGGTCCTCAAGCCCCAGGCAGCTCCAGCTCTACTCCTCATGAGGCTGAGGAGGGCTCTGCAGGAGGGAGGAGAAAGGAGAGCAGAAGGCTGTGAAAGCCTTGGAAGATAATTAACTCCCAGGCAAGGAGCCAAATCAGAATTCTCGGTGCTGCTTAATTGGGGTGCTAGGAGCTCTTTTAATCAACCTAATCTGATTTCCCTCAGATGACTGGATGTTAACCATCTTCACAAAAAGCAGCTGCGGAGGTGGAAAGGGAGGTAAGAGGCCCGCACACATGGCTGGCGCTGGGCGGAGACAGCCTTTGTTCCCACAGCTGTGGTCACAAAGCCTGCAGGGCACACAGCTCTTAAAGAGGGTTGTGCGGTTTGGTTTTTGTTTTGTTTTGTTTTGTTTTTGCATTATCTGCTAGTGTGGCTAGAAATCCAGAGAGGAAGAGAAGATGGGAGGGAGTGCAGTTTAGTGGTGGGAGCTGCAACGCCTCAGGAAGTTAGCAGTTCCACCAGGCAAATTCTCTCTACCCATTCTTTCCAGAGATTAGTGTCCTGGGGAGGGGTGGGGAGAGGGGAAATGGGGTCAGAGGGGTTCTGGCATGTCTGTGAAATTAGGCTTCAGGGTCTAAATGAAACTGAGCTTTAAGCCAGTTTAAGCCAGAAGAATTTTCATAAAACCAAAAACAGACCAAACCCCAAGCCTGCCTCTGAAAACTTGGTGATCCCCTGTGACTCCCTTTTACTTTGGCTGACAGAGCTAAATTCAGTTATCAGGGGCAACAACCTTACTATCTTTTTTTTTCCTCACTCTGAATGACTGTTTCTTCCTCTCCTCATTTAAAAGGTTCATTCTTGCCAGGCGCTGATGGATCACACCTGTAATCCATGCTACTCAGGAGGTAGAGATCAGGGAGATTGCAGTTTGAAGCCAGCCTGGGGAAATAGTTCACAAGACTCTATCTCGAAAAACCTACCACAAAAAAGGAAGCTGGTGGAGTGGCTCAAGGTGTAGGCCCTGAGTTCAAACCCCAGTACAGGAAAAAAAAAAAAAGTTCTGTTCTTTTGGGGAACTATCCCAGATTTGTAGGAACAGGCAGGATACAACTGATGAGGTGTATCAAACAGCCTCCAGATTTACGGCCCTGTCTATGTTTTAAGGCGATGTGTAGCTGGGCCCCAGACTAGACATGACCTCTGTGACAAGCGGGGTTATGGAAGCTGGCAGGTACTTAGCCTGTACCCAACACAGAGGTGACTTCCAGAACCAGGAAGGAGAACGCCCAGGCTTTGGTCCCCATCATCTTTCTCCTGTGCCCTGTGGGAATGTGGCAGGAGACGGGTAAAGGTGTGTCACAGAGTCAGCTTGTCTCTAGAACATTCCCTGGAAGTTTCTTAGATCCAGTAACCTGCAAAGAAGCAAAGTTTGTCAGATCCCACATTTCTAAGTCACTTCTCATGGCTCAAGCAGAAATATTTCTTGACCTGTCAAGGATAGAAGGGTGGACAGAACGAAGTCTCGTGGGAGTGACATCAGCCTAAGCAGCAAAACTGGACAACTTGGGAGACACAGAGGCTCAGAATCTGAGTTCAAATATGGCAGATCCAGGTTCCAGCCCTGGCCCAAGCTCCAGGGTTCCACACCAAAATGGGGCACAAGGGAGAGGAGAAGAGGCTCATTGGCAATAAGGCCGGGCTCACTCCCAGCAGCCTCTGAGTGACTTATCAATCACATTCAAGACCTGGACTTGGGGGATTTAGGTCTGTTTCCCCTTGGCGAGGCTATACTCTTTTACAGGGGGCTCCACATGAAGGCAGTTCAGCCCTGGTCATGGCTATGGTGGCCCCTCCTAGGGCAGGCAGGCTGGGGGAGCAGATGCCTCAGCAGCACCACCTCCAAGACACATTCCCAGATGTGCACGGGCTGCAGCTGGAACACATTCTGGCCTGTTTGGGGCCTGGCTGGGAGTTCCACAGCCAGGAGCCAGCTGAGGGGAAGCAGACAGAGTGCACTGTGAGAGGCTAGGACCCCTCAATCTCTGGGAGTATGGGGTAGGGGCTGCAGGAGTAGAGAGAGGAAGGCAATAAGGAACCATGAGGCGTGGGTGGCCTAGGCTCCCACTGAGCTGGACATTTTTCTCCTCTTCCAGAGCTCTGGCCAACCCAGAATCTGACCAGTTCTTGATTCAAAAATGGTTCCCTTCAATCTCCAAAGTCCAGGGCGTGGTAGGAAAGGGAAGATACCTTCTCTCTGGAAAAAAAGGTTCAAAAAGTCTTGGGTATCCCAAGGGAAGAAGAAAAACCCCACACTGCAGACCCTCCAGCCCTAAAATCACTACTTCCCACACACCTGTTTCTCGGACGAGGTAATCCCGCAGATCCAGCTAGCACAGGTCTCACCCCCAAGCTCCCCAGTCCTGAGCAGGGAGCAGAGCAATCCGCGGCCTGCACAGCCCTCCCCTCACTGCTGCTCCAGGGCTGTCTGAGAGGCCCGGGTGACCTGAGGCACCTTGTGGAAAAACCATTTCCCATCTGGCAGCCCATGGAGGTTTCTCCACATCCCACTGTTTCCTGCGCTTAGCGCCCCAACCCACACTCCTCTGAGCTCTTGGACAACGCATATTTGCTGGCCTCAGGAAAGAAGTAGGACAGCGCAAGGTATAGAGACCCAAAATGGGGCCATTTGCGGGGGTGAGGGGAGTCCTAACCCTGGGTGGGGCAGAGAAACTTCAGAGCAGAAAGTGGAGTCTTTTCTGTGGCAGACGAGGGGCCAGTCAGCAACAAAGAGAACTGGGGTGCTCAGGGGAGGGCAGGAGCAGCTGAGCCAGGCAGTGGGCTGCAGGGATGAGGCACTGGGAATGGAGCTCACCGTTTCCTGAGCAGGACTCCTCAGCTGGGGGTCCAAGTCTTCATCTCTGCAGCCGTCCAGCCCTGGGCCTTATATAGCACAGCTGGTGGCTCAACCGGTGGCAGCCAGCCACGGGAAGCAGCAGCGAAACCAGATCTGAGCATGAGCCTCCCTCCCCTCCCCGTGTCCTTGCAGCTCACGGAGGCCTCATTTCACATCCAGATCCTTAGGGGGGATGCCACAGAGCCTGGTGGTGACCCAGGTGGGCAGCTGCTTGGGGCTCCAGAGGCCAGGACAGAGAGACGGGGGTAGGGAGGTGGACTGGGTATTGGGAGCAGCCCTGGGAAAGGGCCGAGGAGAATTCTACATCTGGGCAGCATTCCATAGCTCAAGGGTGGTGTGTTCTTGCCTAAATTTTACTTGCTGATCCCCCACATTCCCCCAGCCCTGCCTCCCCACCCACCCAAGGAAGCAAAGGACTTTGCTGGCCTTAGCACATACTCCAAACTCTCTTAGCCACCTTGGCCTCACAGCTGGTGTGTCTGACCTCAGGGGGGTTGACTACTCGGTTCTCTGGCCTCTGAGGTAGCGCTCAGGGAGCCTCAGAAGGAACGAGGGACAAAAGAATTGTGAGGCAAAGGGTGTCAGCCCCTCCCCACTTCCATTTGGGTACCTTCCTATACCCATAGGGACCACAGAGCCCCAACACATGGACTTCTGAGAGCTCCACCATATATGTGTGCGTGGAGTACATGCCTGACTTCAGGTATGTGGACTGCCAGCCTTACCCACAGGTGGCCTGAGCAGCTACCTGTGTTTTGGGACCTTCCTCTGTCCACTCTCTGGCCCCAGCATGAGGTTGTCTGTTGTCTCAGGCAGTGACTCTGGCATGGCATTAGAATCACCTAGAGGGCAGTTAAAACCCAGATTTCTGGATAGCCTACCCCCGAGACCCCCCACTTCCTAGGCCGAGACTGCATTTCTATTGAACTCCCAACTTATACTGAAGCTGCTGGTTCTTGAACACATTTTGAGAATTACTGGTCACAAGGATAGCGTCCCACTTGAAGGCAGAAGATGAGGAGAGAATATACCAGAGACCATAGCAGGAACCTCCTGAGTCTTGCCTCATGTCAGAGTCATCCAACTTGGCCTGGGCTTCTAGCAGCATGCCAGAATCTGGAGGTAGAGGCCTGGGCTTGTAGCTGTCCACACAGGGTCACTCTTTCCACATACTTTTACTGAACTCCTATTTTAGGCTGGGCACTGGGGAAGAAGAGAGACATGTCTGCACTTAGGAAAGAGCTTCACATAGTAATGATCCCACAGTGCAAGCTTCATGCCAGACAGCGAGGGTTGCCCTAGACAGAGCTGCTAGGGTGGAGAAAGGAGGTTGAACAGCAATACCCACAACCAGACATGGGGCACAGATCTAGTTTTCTTTCTCTCCTGGAGCTTGGTCTCCCTTCCAGCCATCAGCTCTTGGCCAATAGGCCCTGTAGCTGGTTCTACTCTGGTCCAATTTGTCAGCGTGAAGCTACAAAGCAGTTTCAGCCATGGCTTTGACAGCAGATGACTGAACTGACCGAAGTTCATGCGAGGTTTGAGGAATAAGACAGATAGAGGCTGAGCCACAATTGCCAGCATAAAGGACAAGAGAAAAACAGGAACTTGAGAGTCCGAAGTCTAGTTCTGGCTCTGTTACTAATTCTGATGCGTCACCTTGAACTAGCAACAAACCAAGTAACCCTGGGCCTCAGTGTCCCCAATTTGTGCAACAGAAGTTGGGACCAAGTGAGTTCATAGGCCCTGCCACTCTGGGATTGTAAGGTCTGATAATATTCAGAGAACAATCAGAACAAAGAGAAGAAGGAATCGTGACTCCAAGACATGTGGTCAGGGGTCAGCCAGAGAAGCAGAAAGACCACTGAGGCTGAATTGATAATTTTAAAAATTAAAAAAAAAGCAAGATACATAGGAGAGGAAGGTATAGAGAGGTAGAGAGATAAGCCAGAGAGTCAGGGTGAAGATCAAGGTAACCAGCTTCTCTCCAAGGCTTTTACTCTATGGAACCCTGGATTATATGAGCCTTCCTTTCTTCTCATTCCTGCCTGGGTCTCCTTGCTTGCCTCAGTACTCAAACTGGGGCACCCCCACTTACCTAGCCATGTGTCATCATGGTTGGCACAGGACTGAGGGACGGTGAGTTAGAATCCCTGGGTTTTAATTCTAGCCATGACTTTTGTGTCCCCCTGGCTCATATCCTCCCCCTCCCATACTCCTTTCAGTCTTTTACTGTTCCTAAGTGGGAATAAGCCGTGAGCTACATGGGGATAGACTGAGGGAATCTGAGCCATCTCCAACCCTGTCCTCCCAGAACTCCTTTGAGGAAGAGGCTGCTGCTCTCCTCTGCCAGTACCTCAGGCCAGTGAGGGCTGGGGAGGTGGTCGTAGGTCTGGGCTGTTCAGGGCCTGGCCAAGATGGGTCGGCTTTGGCCACAAGTTGCCTTTGGGCTTCTGTAGGCCCAGCTACCCTGCAGCAGCTCCAAACCTCTGCCTGGAACACACTAGAAACTCATCTTCCCATTCCTGTCCAGAGGATGGAAGGGCTTGGGGCCCAGTTTAGCCAGGCCACCTATCAAACTTATGCTTCAGGAAAGCAGCTTGGGAACGAACTTGTGTGTGTTGGCGGGGAGTGGGGTGAGAGGTTGGGGTTCTGATCCCAGTCTGAAGGATCCAGAGGAGGGTGTTCTGTCTCTAATACACTCTCTGATCCCTTCCTCCCATTGTTGTCCCCTGTGGCCTGAGGAAGCTTTGCAGGCCTGGTGGGGCTAGGCAGCTGATCCTTGGAGACTGGAAGCCTTGGGCTCAGCTCTGAGACCTCAAGGACTGTGACCCTCACTCAGCCTGGGAGCCAGAGACCCAGAGTGCAGGGTAGTGGAGGATTCACACTCTGACCAAGTTGCTCTTCATCCTACCCTGGATATAGTCTGTCCCTGTTTCACCTCTGTACCTTTATAACTTAATCCCCCAACTTCCCATCTTAAAATACAGACCTCCCTCCCACCAGTGTAAACGTCCCCATTTTTCACAGCCCTGTCTCAGTCACCTCCCTCCTGCCCATCTAGATTATTCCTTCCCCGGATCTCAGATACTAATGTCCAGCTGCATGAAGATGGATGACACTCTGTAATTTACAAAGCACATTCATGGGATCTCATCTCCAGTCTCACAGCCAATCTGAGAGGCAGGAATGATTATGCCCATTTTACAGAGCAAGAACTGAGGCTCAGAAAGGTTAAGTCACTCAGGTATAGTATATCTTCAGCTCAAAGATGTCCGTAGGAGCCAGGGATCTAATGTAGACCATAGAGGCTCCTCTCTCAGCTCAGAGAAACCACTATGGAAATCACACAGCAACTGTCTGCTCCTTAGTGAGAACATACCTAGAAGAGTCTGGCCCACCTGCTTGTACAAACACCTGTTTCCTACATACACTAATTCCAAAGACACTGTGCCTGTCTAAAATGATCCAGCTCTCTATCACACTGTGGCAAACTAAATATGGCTACAAAGTCTTGGCAATGATCCCACTATGAAGTGGAGTCTCGTTTTGTTTTGATGGGACTGGAGTTTGAACTCAGTGCTTTGTGCTTGCAAAGCAGGTGCTCTACTACTTGAGCCACACCTCCAGTCTATTTTACTCTGGCTATTTTGAAGATGGGGTCACATGAACTATTTGCCAGGGCTGGCCTCAAACTGAGATCCTCCTAATCTCAGCCTCCCAAGTAGCTAGGATTACAGATGTAAGTTACTGGCACCAGGTGAAATAGAGACTTTTTACTCATTTCTTTGACTTGATGGTTTTGTGACTCTCTTAGAATAAAGGAATATGACTGAAGTGATGCTGTACAAGTTCTGGGATGTGGGTCTCAAGAGGCCTTGCAGCTTCCACCTTACAGCCTCTTGGGAACACTGACTACCATAGGAGGAAGTCAGTCTCTTACTGAAATGGAGAGATCACACAGATAAAAACCTGTGCCCCCAATAGCCATCTTGATGATCCCCCCCAGCAGCCTCATGAGTGAGCCCAGGTGAGACCAGCAGAGGAATGGCCCAGTTGACCCATGAAATTAGGGGAAACAATAAGTCATTGTTTCAAGCCACAGAGTTTTGGGGTGCAATAGATGACATACACTTAGGACAAAAGCTCTTTCCATTGCAAGTGATAAAAAGTACAACTCAGATTGGTTTAAGCAGAAAAAGGATCATGGGGTTCTCATGACTGACGTCTAGGAGAAGTTGGATCCAGATACATAGACAATGCATCAGAACTGTTTTCGGCTCCTATCTCAACTGCTTCCTCTGTGGTGACTTTATTCTCAAGGAAGCTGTGGCAGTCTTTATTTTCCAAAGATGGCTGCAGTGGTGTCCCTGTTCCTTGAGTTCTGTACTATGTGACTGCACTAGTACACCATCAAGACACAGAATTGAGCCTGGTGCTGGTGCCTCACACTGTAATCCTAGCTACTTGGGAGGCTGAGAATTGCAGTTTGAGACCACCCTGGACACAAAGTTCATGAGACCCCATCTCAACAGAGAAAAATTGGGCCTGGTAATATGCATCTGTC